CCTCCTCCTCCTTCTCCTTCTCCTCCTCCTCCTTCTCCTTCTCCTCCTCCTCCTCCTTCTCCAGAACGTTGCATAGGAAAAAGTTACCATACCTAGCAGCCAACAGTCACCCCTTCAAAAAGCCCAATTCTCTCCCCAAGCCCCTTTTCATCACATTTGGAGGAAGCAAGCGCCCTCCTTGAATTATGAGAAGTCCATCCTGCTGGCTATCCTAATGATCAGTTAAAAGTAGTAGAAGGGGCTGCACTCCCAAGATTAACACCATAAGCCCTAGGCCACCTGTAATTTCAGATATTATCTCACAGGGTTGCATAAGGTTTCTCTGTTTTGATGATCTCTCCAGACCTTTGGTAATTAACGACACAGGCCTTTATTTATTTATTAACAGGTGGAGGGCTTTTGGTTGTGGGGACGTTGCTTAATGCTACATAATATTCTAACAAAGGCCATTGACGTTCACTCCCTTTTCGTTGCGCTAATCTGCATTAAAACATCCTGGAGAAATATCTAGCCAGCCTCTGCTTGAAACATCCCAGGAAGGAAAGCTTTGCGCTGCTTCTGAACGAAGCAGGAGGATATATTTTCAGAGCACCATAAATGTCACCATCCCATATTCCCATTGTGCCAAATTTAAAAGTAGTTTCTCCCGCTCTCTTTTTAAGCAGCCGTTCGCGCATCATTTTGGCTTTTGTGTGACCACCCTGGGTGTCTTTTCCTGCTAGTAACTGTTCCAAGCAGCCCGCCCACAAATGAAAAACTCTGGCAATGCGGCATTTTTTATTTTCTTCAAATATACTTTGGAAAGACACTTCCCCCCCCCCCCTTCTCTTCTCCCACCTTGTTTCTCTCTGCAGGCAATGTGGCTGAGTAAACAATTGATAATCCCCTGGATATCCCAGGAGAATTTGTTAACCAATGAGTGGTCAGCCCTAGCAAGCGAAGTGCAAGAGTATCAGGAGAGAAAGCAGGTATGTTGCTGGAAGTAACAAGGCCATCTCTACATGCGAGGGGAAAATAAATTGTGGCGTTTGCCGGGTTTTTCGGCAGGTGCGCAACGAGAGGTCCAATTATCACCGTTCGTTTGCATCAAGGCTGCTCCAGCGCACCCTTCTGAGTCCGATAACAGGCTCACAGGCTGGGATAGGAAGAGCAGAGAGAAATCTGCCGTTTGGTGTCGAGGGTTGAGATTTCCTTTCTGAATTCGTGGTCTGCCAAGACCCTGCGAGTTTAAAGGGGGTAATTGTTGGGAAAGTGAGCTGCAAATAATAGGGCTTGATGGATCCACGTGTAGGTTCCCCCCCCCCAATTATTTCAATTAATTATGCATGGTTATTTGAAGAGGGGAGCGAAAAGGGCTGGGGAGGGGAGCCATCACGCTTCCCAACTCCTGGGGTCATGTCTGAATCCGACAGGAGCGTTTTCCGTCTTGGAATGCTCCCTACCAACCCACAGGAGGTGTAGACACACAACTGCCCTGGATCCTAACAAGCCATCTGTGGCAGCAAGGGAGCGCTGGGATTTTACGCAGGCAAATTAGCAAGGTAGAAAGGAAAGAGAGACGCAGAAGCCCAGGGCCCGCTTGGTAAAGTGAGGGAGTTTCCTGTATGAGCAGTGTGGAATTAAAACAGGTCCTCCCCTTCTTCTCATGGTAGAATGCAATTGCTTCTCTTTCCCCAGCCCTGAGGGTCCCTAGCCTGTCTCACCAGATTGGAGAGAGTAAGGTGGTGTAGGTCCCTTCCCTTAAATGTGACCATCTTGCAGGACGTGGCTTTTCCGTGGCAGTCCCTACCTTGTGGAACCCCCTTCCCCTTGAAATCTGGCAGGCCCCACCCTCTTAACCTTCCCCAAAGCCATAAAAAAACCCTCTTCCCCCAAGTACTGGGGGAGAGTGAAGATGGGCTGAAAAACTCTGCTATTGGTTCCATCAAAGCAATTCAGTTGTGGCACCAGATGTCCTTGTTTCTGTTTTTAAGGTTTTCTACTTTTATTTTTTGGTACGATGTGGATTTTCTATAATTCTTGTGAGCCATCCAGAGCGGTGGTTCTCAGATAGGTGGCCATACAAGCCAATAAAATATTAATAAAATGAAATAAAATAGTTTCCGCCCTAGGGTTCTCAGATAAGAGTAATTCCCTCTCAGGTGATTGGTGGCAAGATCTTGGCTACCCAACCAAGTTTTGCAAGTTTCTAACTTTTGAGGACATTGTAGGAGGATTTCTGGTAATCAAAAATCAGGAGTCGGTTAGCCTCTTTACAGACTAACAAATTTAATTAAAAGGCATCGCAGTGTTATTAAAAGGCATAAACGTTCGTGAGCTGTCGCTCCCTTCTTTTAATAAGATGTGTTAATCTGGAAAAGGTGCCACCAGGCTGTTTCTGTTTTTTAACTGTCGAAGGAGAACCTGCGGAGCTAAAGAACTCATTTGCTCCTGCAATCAAACCCCCGTTTCCAAGAACAGAGAGAAAGTTGGGTTGTTGCTAGTACAACTTTTCCTGTTGGCTTGCTGGCTGCGCAGCTCCCTTGCTACTTCAGTCCTCGTGCCCCCTGATCTTGCCCCCTCTTTTTTATTCAGCTTGAACAAAAGCAACAATCTAGAGTGTTTTTCCAGAGCCAAAGATGGATTTTCATTCCATTCACAATAAAACCTCAATTGGTTTGGAGCGACACACACACACACACACACACACACACACAAATGTTTGTGAGTAGGAAAAAAAATCCCCTTTGGTTTAATTACTCTCATTATTAGCATATTTCAGGCTAATCAGTGGTGCTTTCAAGGATGCCCTGTAGGGTTTCCTTGATTATTATAGGGTAGGACATGAAAGGCAAAGAGACCTGGCAAAAATCACGCAGCAGAGTGGGGAACGGCTAATGAAATCGACACGGCCGCTTTACACGTCTCTTTGGCTCAGCTGGCATCTGCAAAGAGCGGGTTTTCCCCAACTCAAGGCCCTTCAAACAAGTCCACAAACTCCAACTTTTGAACCTTGTGGGGCAGACACTTAAGCCTCAACTCCGGTTGCTGTCCGAGGTGCTAATGTGCTACTTGTGTTGGTAAAGACGGGCTAGAAAAGAAGATATCTGGGTCTTCTCTGTTTGGAGCGACCTGCCCATAGCTAGGCCAGACAAAGTTCCTCCCAATGATTTCTGTAACTCATTCCTTCAGTAGCAAATTTTGGAGAGATGCTGAGATTGGGTTTTTTTTTTTTTTTTTGGAGAGGAGCATAGGTTTTTGGCCCCCTCATCTTCTCAGAGATACCAACAGCTTTCCTGGAATTTTACATAGGGAGCAGACCCACCTGCCTGCCTTCAGCAAGCATTTTCTACCCTGCCCTAGATCAGATTGGAGGCAGAGGAAGGACCAAAGGAGCCCAAACCAGTGGGGGCTGGGTATAGCTTTGAGGAGAAGGAAGCAAAGCAGGAGGGGGCAAGAATGTCACCTTTCATCCTGGGAAAGGGAATACTACAGTGTAGAAAGGCTGGGCCAAGCTTTTTGATCTACCCCAACTCAACTCCCAAGGATTTGTTGGATTTCAGCTTCAAGATGCCTTGTTGTATTGAGGGCAGTGAGAGAAGGGTGGCAGTGTTCTTCCTTGCCAGTCCTGATTCCTGCACAGAATTGAAAGCAAGAACATCTTTCTACTTTGGGTCATATGCCATCCCCACCCCGCACCTGCCCGGGACATCTCTTCCTGCTCAGAGCCCTGACCGTTGCTTCCTGTGACAGATTCCCATCAACCTCTTCACATGGAAGGCAACCTTCCTTGTGGTCTTCCCTTTGGCCAAAAGGGTTGGAGAAGTTCAGGCCTTTTCTTTGAGAGAAGATATGTACATGTTGCTCCCGAACATGGTAGTATTAAGACTGGATCCCATTCCAAATCCAAGATAAACCCCAGATTTTCACAAGCAGAGGAGACTGGCCTCCCAAATCGTGAAGGCCCCCTTCAGCTTTCCTCAGGACCTTCACAACTGTCCCAGGTTCTTTCAGGCCCACGGTTTCTTCAGAGAGATTTTCTGAAACGTCCTCCTCTGGCCAGTTTAGGAGAAGGCCACCTCTCCTGCTGAAGAGAACTAGCCAGAGGCTGGGGTGGGGGGGACTTTCTCATTCTGAAAGAGCAGCTCTCTCCAGCTGTTCCTCCTTGTCTCCAGAAACCCCCTTGGTTGTTCTTTCTCATCAGTTGACGCTGGTCAAGCAGAGAGGATGAGAACACTCCGTTGAGCTGAAGGAGTTGAAGAGGAACGGGGAGGGGGGCTTAAATTGGATTCCGAAGCCTTTGCCGGGCAGACCCCCGGCCGTCCCATGATCTCTTGAAATGACACATCAAAGAAGGACGTGAGAGACTGGCTGTTTCTGAGAGCAGCGTGAGGCACCTTTGTAAAGTGACAGCCTCAAAGCTGCCGATGTTGGCTCCAGCCGCGAGAGGCTGCGGGAAGCTTTGACGCGCCGCCCGGCGGGACTCTCAGACTTCCAAGAAACACGGGCTGTTTCTTTCCCTTCGTGCTCTCCCTTTGCCTCTCTGAATGCCGTAGCTGCTTTGGAGCTGGCTTGGAGTCATTGGGGACCCAGGAGAAGGCCTAATTGGGTCATTTAGTCCATCCTTCACCTGTCTGCCAGGAATCTGCTCTCGGCAGGCTCGATCCTGGATGGCTCGCGTCCCGTCTCCTTTGAAGGAAAGCCGTCCCTGCTCCCTATTGTCAGACCAGAGCAGAAAAGTTTCCAAGAATGACCGTTGATACCGATCCGCCAACTGCTAATCTGGAGGAACTGCCTCGGCTTCCAGGAGTCCAGGCTGCGGGAAACGTTTCCATCTGAATTTCATTGTAAACCGCTTTGAGATTATTTTATTTTTTTTAGTGGGAAGCAGCATGGAACGTTTAAAAGAGAGAGAGAAAGAACTAATAAAGGAGTTCAAAGGAAGAAATAAAAAAAGGATTAAGGCTGAGACGGCAGAGAGTCTGTGCTTGTTGCTTGGTAAACCACTTGGATGTGTCCGTGAAATCATCGTTTAGCTCGGCTCCAAGGAAACTTGACTATTTTGCCCAACTGATGGAGAAGCCTTGCTCTGTTGATAGCCTTAGGCTGATCAGCTGAGTCTTTCAGCTGCATGTTGTACCTGATTTAATGTAGATGGGTCTCTTCTGACAAAAATGGCTGAAACTTGGGAGCCCGGCCCTCCCATCTTGTTGAAGCCGGATCGTACGAAAACTAGAGCAGTGGTGGCCAACCTATGACACGTGTGTCCAAGGTGACACGCCACGACGTTTTGGGCGACACGCCAGCGTTCACCAACACCCGACAACCACTATTTTCCCTGCTTGAGTTACCAAAGAAACTGAGTTTGTTTTCCTCGTATTTCATTTTTGTAATTATCTGACGTTTCTTTATAGAATATGTAGGATTGGACTGTATGTTTTTTTTTAAATAAGTGAATATGTAAAGAGTTGTTTCTCTTTTGTTCAGGATGGGGGGGCGGGGGTGTGACATGCCAGCAGAGTCAACTAAGGCATTTTCCGAATTTTTGGCATTCCGAGCCCAAAAGGTTCACCGTCACTGAACTAGAGCATGGGCCTGGAAATCCACTTGGTGCAGTTTAAAAAATAAAAACCAGCAAACCCAAATCTCTGGAAAATTGAGAAAACCCCACCCCTGGCGTTATCCCATCAACTGCGGTCTTTCCCTCTCTCAAAACGGTGCCCCCCGTTCATGGTTGGATGAAGGCCAACGGATGCCCTAAGCACAGACCAACTGTGGCTCCCTTTGATGCAAAGCAAAACTCTCACGCCACGAGATGGAAACAAATGTGATCTCTGACCACACCTTCAGACCAAAGTTTTAAACTTTAGTCACTCACCGTGCCAAAGGAAACTTTCTTTCTTTTTTTTAAACAATGCAGAATAAAGTCAAACAGGGCAGGTAAGGACAATTGCAAAAAATCCGCCCGAAGTCTAGTGTGGCAGTGATAGAGTTAAGGGCATAATAGCTAGGGGGGAAATCTGGGGTGCCCCCTTTCCCCTGGTGCCCCAAGCAAGGGCTTATTAACCCAGAGCTGCCCCGAGTTTGAAAACCTTGCCACTTCTAAAACGTTAAGGAGTTGAACTGGGGAAGTGTCAACTGTTTCCATGTGGGTTTTGTCCCATGTTTGCAACAGATTTTTAACCACCCATCCCTTTGAGTCTATTCTAATCAAGCATTAGCATTTGGTTTGGATCAAATTCTCTTTAACTCACCTGCTCTCTCTGTCTTTAACAATGATTTAGAGGATCCCTGAAGCTGTGTGGGCCAAACTGATTGAGGAACGCCTGAAGCTTGAAGACTGTCTCTGCAGCGTACGTATGACCCATAGCTTGCAAAGGTGGGGCTGGGGCGGTGGTGGAGTGGGGATAGGATTGAACTCACAAATATTAGCACAGGGAATTGTGGAATTATCAATACAGGTAATCCTCGACTTATGACCATAATATAGACCAGAAAATTCATCATTAAGTGGGCTGGTTGTTAAGCGAGGCATCACATGACCACACCCAATTTTATGACATTTGTGTGGCAGTCATTAAGCAAATCTCCATGATTGTGAAGTGAATCATGTGGTCATTAAGTGAATCATGTGGTCGCTAAGTGAATCATGTGGTCGCTAAGTGAATCATGTGGTTCCCCATTGACTTTCTTGGTTGGAAGCCTCCGGGGAAGATTGCAGATGGTGATCACGTGACCCTGGGATGCTGCAATCATCATAAATACATGCCAGTTGCCAAATGCCCAAATTTTGATCATGTGACCATGGGGATGCTGTGATGGTCATAAGTGCAAGGACTGGTTGTAAGTCACTTTTTTCCGTGCTGTTGTAACTTCGAAGGGTCGCTAAATGAATGGTGGTAAGTCAAGGACGACCTGTAGAGTGAAAAGAAGGGTGCAGTGACATGTGTGCCAAGCTGGCCCAGAAGTCAGTCGACTGCTTGAACAAAGCTTCAGTGTTTTATGCGAACTCTGAAAATGGGTTAATTCGTTAATCAGGTTAGGCCTGCTACGCAAACGCAGCCACGCTATGCTGATCAATAAGCCATGATTTGCAACCCAGCAGTTTTAAGTTTGCACAGCACGCTAAGCCCAAGCGAGAGAGGCTGTATTACGGCCTGAAGCGTGAATCTGAAGCGAATCTGGCCAGTGTGGTTTGTTCAACAAAACCTGGCTAAACCATGGCTTAGAGTGTGGGTGGGTGACTTGTGGCCCTTGAGTCTCTTGTTTGGGCCCCTGGAGTTTCCCCTATGATTGCACAGCAGAGTTTTCTGCCATTTGGAGGTAGGAAATGCGCGTGAGACCGAAATAGGCCAAACGCGGCCCCTGCCAAGGTCTGTCCTGTCACACAGAGGGGACATAGCAACATCGATTTGGTGGCCCTTAGCAATCTAAGAACAGCCATGAAGGTCTAGGGGGTATTTCATCCTTTGCCCGGGAAATCATCTCTGTAGATCCCCAGAGTTAGCTGCATAATTAGCGCCAAGTCTGTCCTCGGGTTAAATTAGCGGCCCCGGGTTAAATTTCAACCCAAGGGGACCCCCCCTCCCGCACTGTGGCTCTCCCTTTAGAACAGCAAAGTAGCTTAAAGGAGGAGGGCAAATCTTGCAGAGGGTGTAGGTTTCGCTCCTCGAGAGCCAGATTTACGGTATGTGGCTTGCCAGGCAGGTCGGTATATTATGCTGGAAGAAAAATGTCAATAGATTGTGTGAACTGGGCCTCCAGGCTACTGTACCTTCGCTCTTTGTTTTATTTCTCCTCGTGGTGCCATTCGACCGGCATTAATTGCCCGGCTTTCATCCCACCTATAGCCGGCGTGCCGGATTTCGTGTGCCGTTGTGTTGACGCGCTTGGGTTTATAGCTGTCACTCGGAACCTCTGAGGAGCGTGTTTTTATTGATCAATGGGGCTGCCAGGACCCTGGAGGGCTTGTTCCCCTAACACAAATGCCGTCAGAATCATGAGCGATCGCATCTGTGTGTGTGTCTTGCAACGCTCTGAGCCAAAGAACCACGAGCACCGAGCTCTACCGCTGGCAGCTCGCGGGGCAAGGGTTTCGGCATCGTTGCGCCTGACAGGTTATCCAAGAGGTCTTCCTCCTTCACGGGCGGATGCTGGACCGGCAGGGCAGCAGCCAAACTGATTTACGGACGCCAAGAAAACGGCGTAGCCAGAAGCCCCCTTTTGCCCAGGGAGCCGATTCCAAATAGGAGGCTACGCAGAATATGCGATATAGCTGAAAACTTTGAGGGAGGCAGCTGTGTCTCTGCGTGATTTGGGGGCCAACCCAGCCTTGCTTCCTAGCAGCTCCGTAATTCTGCAGAAGACCATTGCATCTGTCTTTGAACCTCTGCTCTGGGCAATTTTTCTTAGAAGAGGTGTCCAGATCAGAAACTCATGCAGAGATGAAAGGAATGGCTCCATTTAAGGGAAGAGACTCGGTCTTCCACGTTCTCATTCAGGAAAAAAGAAGTTTTTTGTGGCTTACCGTAAGGTATGAACCTAGCCAGTGATGGCTGATTCAACAAACCACCTCCAAACAAATCAAGGCCTAACGTCATCTCCAAGCCGATTCAGTGCATTTAATTGATTTTGACGGATACTTAGTCCCTCTGGAGATTTCTGGTTTGGATGAGAAAAGCAGGACATTCTTTGGAACGTGAGAAAATATACAAAGAAGTTCCTAGCTGCCCATACTTTATTTTTGAAATTTTGAGAATGAGAGTCAGGAGAAGCATGAAGGGAATGCACAGAATTGCCCAGGTTTTGTTTCTGCAAAAGATGCGGGGGGGGGGATTGAATATAGTGGGGGCATGTTTCTGAGTTAATTCAAGAGTCCTTCTGGTTTTGGATGCTAAGTGGAGGGTTTATTCTCCTCTTCCCCAAGAAGTCAACTCAACACTTCTCATTAGACTGGCAGTACCGTTCCTGCTTGATGGGGCGCAATCAGGGCTGACCCGTTTCAAGGTGGATCAAAGGAGGAAGGAAGAGGGACTGGGGAAAGAGCGTTACCCATCTTTAATTCCGTTGACGCGCGGCAGAGTGACCTGCCAAACAGCTGGGTTCATTTGCTAGGAAGGAAACTCCCATCCCATGATTTTCTCCAGGAGCAAGTTTTGAGTCTGAAGATCGTGTTAATTAGACTTTAATGGCAGCCCATGGGGGAACAGAGATCAATATGTAACTTGGATTGCCTTCTTCCACGCTGCAGCGTTGTTCTGTCTCTCCCCCCCACTTCCTCTTCTTCTTTATCCTCCTTTCCTTCCTCCTTTCCTTCTTCCCCCCCATCTCTGACATCTGTTTGGAGCTTGTCCCTCCTGTGATATCCCTCTACCCGCAGCTGTTTCAGACCTCCGGCTCTGCGCCAGGCGGCAGCGGGGGCGGCGGGGAGTGCCCTGAGCATAGCGCCCGTTTGATGTGTGATAAAACAGAACCGAGCCGCTGGGGGCTTGGCAAAAGGAACCCGGCGGAATATCAATCACCCTGCGCCAAGCCGAGCTGCACCTTCACGGTGGACGAGACGTTTCACTGAAGTGTCAAGCCGGTGGATAATGTATTCTAATGAGGGGTTGGCTGGGCTTTTGGAACAGAAAACCTTTGTGAGACGGGGGGGAGGGAGAGAATGACCCATATATCTGTTTTAGAGGGGCTTATTTATAATGCATTAGCCCTGCACTTTGAAATAGGCTTAATTACAGACAACTTGTTTGTCAAGCTACCTTCTACTCCCCCCATCTCTCTCTCTCTCTCTCTCTCTTTTTTTCCTCTTCTGGTGCTGTGATTGCATGACTGCAAAGCCAGACGCTCTTAAAGTGGAGCAGCATGTCTCAGTTGTAAATGGAGTGCCTGTGTTGTGATCTTCAGGCGAAGCATTGCTGGATTGGTCTACATCCTTGCAACCGAGCATCGTGCTTCCAGCAACAGTCCGTTGCTGGATGCTCTCCAGCATTCTTAACGCATCCACATGTACAGGTTATACGTATGAGTAGGACCTGCAACTAGGACCTGCAGTGAAATGTTGCAGCATGCTGCTAATTGGCCTACAGGTAGTCCTCGCTTAGCGACTGCCTCATTTAGTGATTGTTCGCAGTTACAACAGTGGTGAAAAAGTAGCTTTGCGGCCAGTCCTTGCATTTACGACCTTTGCAGGTCAGTAAAGCAAAGGAAAGCTGAAGTAAGGTCATAAAATCGTGATGTTTCACTTAGCGACCGCTTTGCTTAACGACCGAGTTGCCAGTCCCAATTGTGGTCGCTAAACAAGGACTACCTGTATTCCATCCCCTTCTGGATCTTTGTCCTTGTCTTTGCCCAAAGGGTCCTTGTCTGACTATGTTTGCAAGTCCTTATTGGACTATTTCTCCCCCTCAAATCATTTTTGAGCTTCTGCAAACTTCAAAGTTCCCCCAAGCCTGCTGTTACCACTGTGGGTTGTGCCCTTAGGGATATCTTAACAGCATTCCAAAATAGGAAGCTATAAAGCTGCTTTTGATTGTTCCTATCCTCCCTTCTTTTTCTCTTTTCAAATCCTTTCTGGAAGGCATCTGAATTAGGCCACCGTTATATTTTATTTCATAAGTTACATGGAGCGTGAAGAGTTACACATAAAGACCTCTTGCACATATACCCACATTGGAATGATCTTAATACGCTTTGCTTCAACACGGTGAGATATAGCTGTACTAATACTTGCAAAGTAGCTGAGAAGGAGTCTGAGACCGGTGGGGGAAGGAGCCTGACAAATTCTACTTGGGGAACTTTTTATGGTGAATTTCAGAGCGAGGACTTCCAACTGTAGTTAGAGATAGGTCATTACTTCTATCTAGCCAAACTTTGCCTGGTCTGCCCAGGCAGAGTGAAGTTTTCCCCCAGCCCTCTTCTATAAGAACTTTCCTAGGAAAATGCCTTCAGGTAGGGTGGAAGTGCCATGCACTTCTTGAAATCAGGAGTGGGGAGTGAAAAGCCATTGTGATCACTGGGAAAAGTAGAAGATAGGATTGGAAAGCAAGTGTAAATCAGGATTGAAGAACTTCCTGAAGAACTAGAATTGTTCACACCAGAATGTGAAGTTCATCATGCCAGCAGGTTCCACAGAGGCAGGAAGTTCTTTTATGCTTCCAATTTGCCTGGCTGTCCAGATGGATGGACTCTACCCTGGTAGGTAGTGTCACCCAGAAGGGTTGAAATAGTACTCATGCGGTTTGCCAACTTGGGTAGTGGTGAACGTTCCATGATGGATACCAGGGATTATTGGACTTGGCATCTTGTATTCCAACTAGGGTGAAGCTGACACTTAAAGCCATGTGTTGAAGTCTCTGCCGTGCATGCAGGGTTTTCTGATGGTTCTATTATCTATCTATCTATCTATCTATCTATCTATCTATCTATCTATCTATCTATCTATCTATCATCCATCCATCTGAGAGACCAGACTTTTGAGTAGTGGGATTCCTCATACTGTTGGCCGCTAGTCTTCTGTTGTGGCAGAGAGAACCTCTAAGCACCTGAAATAATCTCATGCTGTAGGTTAACAGAGCATCTTCAGCAGACTCATCCATTGGGTCTGTGCTTAGCTTCCATCTGTATGATTTAGCTAGGCACCAAGTTTTTCTCTTTTGAAAACAGGAAGCCCTCCATCGTCCTCTACTATGTTTTCCATTCATGTCTTGCAGATGCTCTTTAGTGTGATAGATTAATTTTATACATCTTATCCCTCAGGGTTGGATTCTTGAAGGGCTTCCTGACACCCGAGAACTCGCCAGGTCCTTGCAAGTGATGGGCATCATTCCTAGACATGTCGGTATGGAGTGGCCTGATCAAATTTTCTTTTAATGCTTTCTATTTCGTATCCAGTTCCAGAGATATCAGAGGGAGGAAGTTTCAAGAAGGTTCCTTTTGGGCAGACAACCAAGAATCTATTTACACTTTCACGATGAACTGATTTAATATTGCAAAAACCTGATTGGATCCCAGTGTATCTGGTAACTAGGGTTGAGCCCTGAGAAAAGGTAGAGTAAAAGATGCCATTAAGTGGAGTTTGACCGCTAGTGTAGAGTAAGCCATAACATTTTATTGGCAATGGTGTAGAAGAGATTTGCCTCTGCCTTCTTTCAGCATGTTTTCTCAACTTCCCCATGTAGCCTTGAGATACTCTAGGGTCTCCTACCTGAATACTAACTGAGGCCAACCGTGTTTAGCTTCTGAGGCCAGACAAGGAGTGAGTAGGCATAACACCCACCTAGTAAAAGGGCTGGTGGGGGAGGTTCTCATTTTGCCTTTCTCCCACTACTTTCCCTTCTTCCCAACCAAAGCTTTGGAGTAACTGTAACAGTTCTCCCATTTCTAGCAGCAAAACCCCAAACAGTTGCAAAATAAATCTTAAAGTAGGTTTCACCCTGCCCGAGACAAGACAAAGGAGAACCTCAACGGGATTGGATCTGAACGAAGAACTCACCCCAAAGTTTAGGGAAAAAAACCATTTTTAGGCCTGCCTTAGTAACGTTTTCCTTGATTATTTTTTCCAGTGATGCTCTACGCTCCCGACATTATGCTGATCGAGCGGAATCTAGGGAAGAGAGTGGATGAAGTCACAGGAGGTACATCTTGATGCGTGTGGGTTTTGTTGTTGATGTTGTTGATGTTCTGCAAAGGTGGGAAAACGGAAACCAGCAATGGTGAACGAAAAACTTTGATCTTTGGGGCAGAGCTCTGCAATCTTTTCTTGGAAACAATCATGTTTCAGCCTGCTCCCTGTCAGATGTATTTCAGAGCAAGGAATTTAAGTCGAGTCTAACTCATGCATGGTCTTATCCCAGAGGTGTATCATACGACTTTTGATTGGCCCACTGATGAGAACATAGGTTGGCGTTTGAAGGCACCTGAAGACATATCTGAAAAAGAGACCTCACAGAGGTTGCTGGAATATCATCGAAACCTTCCAGGAATAGTCCAGTCCTTTGGGAAATCCATCAAGTTAATCAATGCAGACCAGCCGTGTGCGGATGTCTTCTGGCAAGGTAGGAACAGGTGGGGGGCACCTTCATGTATGAATCATCTTTAAAAGACTGCATTGGGATGGAATGGTATTAATCAATTAAACCTGGTCCTGTGAGTCAAAGAACATTTTGGTATCCTTACAGGGAACATTCTCTCATTCACTTTGGTCTGTTGTCTTAGCTTTGAACATTGCTCGTTACTTTTGTTTCGGCTCTTAAGTATTAAAACGGAGAAGTCACTTGCTCTGAAATCTGCTTTTTTAAAATAATTGCTCCATTCCCAACTGTCTGCTGCTGATAGCCTCTTTATATAACTTCGTGTTTTCGCATTTTGAAAAAGGCCTCTCAATAATTTCAAGGCCCCTATTTTTAAAGTAAACAAGCCAGAAGTTTATATTCGGAATTTACAAATTAATTACCTCTAAATTACTTAATTAAATTTAAAAGTTCACATCATCATTCATAAACAATTCATGCCTTGGATTGCAAATGCGTGTGCGCCGTCTGAATATTAATTATTATTAATTAATAATGCAGTAAGAGAAATTGAAAATTGGAATTAAAAAAAAAATCCTCCCTCTTTCTTTTTCAGTTGATGCAACAAGCCGCTAGATTCATTCTTTCTTTTTTTTAAAGAATAATTAGATGTGGAGTCTGGGGGATCATTACTCCTAATTAACTTGGTTATTTACTGCAAATTAAGCATCATTTGTAAGCAGGCTGGTTAGCCTGATATGTTTGTATCTTGGATATGCCGGCTTGGGGAGAAAAGAGATAAGCTGGGTCTGGTTAGCTGATATTTACTCGGGGATCAACTTGTGCTAACAAACTGTCAGCAACTTGGCATCAGGATCTGGAGGATCTGTAAGTGTGAAAACATCAGCAGGTTTATTTAACCAGTAAGGGATGCAGTGTGTAAACAGTCCCAGGGACAAGTTGATCCCCAAGTAAAGTTGATCCCCAAGTAAAGTTGATCCCCAATTACAGTTGATTCCCAATTACAGAGATCAACCTCAAGTTGATCCCCAATTACAGAGATACTCCATGCAAGTGGAGGGAACGTGTTCCTGATATGTATCAGCTTGCCTTCATGCCCTACTATGCCCTACTAGGCTCCCACCCCTGCCTCACTGTCCTGCTGCAAGCCTTGAGCATCCTGTTGACTTGCAGCAATGATTTTAGGCCCACCAGGGTCCTGATGCCGGAGATCATCCGCTAAATGGGTGCACAGTGATTGACTGGGCCCATCACAGCTGCCATTTTGTGGTTCTGATGCTGGGGAAGGTGGAAGGAGAGAGAAGAAGAGGACAACTAGCAGCAAGGTGGATGGACTCAATTACAGCGGTAATGGGGGCACTGTTGGAAGGACCAGGTTCATGACAGATCATCATGGAGAAAATGTATCTATGAGGTCACTAGGAATCGACAGTGCCTTGATGGCACATGATCAATGAGTCACCCAATTAGTGCCCCTGGAAACCATTTTGAGGGACAAACTCCCCAATGGATCCCAGCCGTGAACGGTTGCTACCCTCTGCTTTAGAGTAGTTTGCCAATTCTCTCTTTACAAGGCAGTGAAAGAATGCTCCTGCCAAATACCCTCCCTCTGGGGCACCCCTGTTGTACAGTGCTTCCCTGGACAAGGTAGCCCTTTTATCATCTGCATGAATTCAGGGAAAAAACAAGCTAAGAGCACTCCAAGAGAGGTCCACTCGGTATTAATTTCAGGGGAATTTACTCTTACGTAGTGTCAGCCCTCTGTAGTGGGCCAGGTCAGGAAACAGATGTCACGAGAACTACTGGAACTTTCCTTTATTCTTAAAGGGTATAATAATGTCAGAATCTTAAAAGACTGAGAAGGATTCTCTCTTCCTCTTATACCTAAGAGGATGAACATGGGGAAATCTTGAGTTTCTTTCTCACTTCCTCCTCTTTTCCAGGACGAAGTTAGTGCTTAATGAATGGCCACTGAGTTTCTTCTTCAAGGTGATCTCCATACTCCGTAAATATGCATAGGGCCATTATTTTTTAATTATGGAACTGTAAATCTGGGCTGCCAAACTCATTAAACTAAGCTTCAGTTGAGGTGGAAGTCCAAGTCTTGTGTGAACCAGGACATCAAGACCTGGTATATTTGTTGTGGGAATGCCTGTTGGATCAATGTAAGAATTATCTGCTGTTAACATGGTTTGAGGCTTTGCATGTTGGATGACCTCTATGAAATGGGACCTAGTAGAAAGGAAAAAACAATTTGTAATTCTGTTTATGCCACTCTGAGAACGAATTACAATTCCAGATTTGAAGGAGGGTTCAATGTGATGTTCTCTCTAGCCTCGTGAGAGGCAAGAGCTGTCCATGGGTTCAAAAATCACAGTGGAAAAACTTTGCACTTACGTTGTACTAGTGTCACGTTCTGCCTCTTTCTTTTTTTAATAGTTCTGTCACATGTCCGACTTCCACCTCGAACCCATGCCCCATTTTCACCCCGGATTATTCTTTGCGGACCTCCAGGATCTGGGAAAAGTCTGCAGGCATCCTTAATAGCCGAGAAATACGGCCTCATCAATGGTTTGTTCTCAATAAATATTCTTTGTTCCCTTGTGCATTCTTTCTTCAATAACCTTCTGGTGCCCCTTTAGCAGTGAAAACAAGTATTGGGAAATTTCTAACCTGAACCGAAAGGGTACCAAGATGATAAAGTCATCATCTGGTATCCTTTTGCCACTGGCAGGATTTCTTGTGTTATATACCATCAGAACATTTTCAATGATCTAAATTCTTTCCGGTGGTTTCCCCTTAGGTCATAATAAATCTTTGCCCCTTCGCATAACTCTCCTTTGCAAAAATCTGGAAAGTCACCTGCTAAATTAATGGAAAGAGGTAGGTATGTGTTTGTGTGAGAGAGATTCTTTTTGCTTGTTTTGAGCAAATCTTTTTCATGCACATGTATCGCACCAGGCAGCTTACGACAATTTAATATAACCTCTTGAAACTTCATTCCTCGTTGGCCAAATGAACTCTCTAAAACAGTTGAATGCAAACAGGAATAGACTCCATTGACAGTTTCCTATCTCAGACAGGATTTCATATTTATCCTGGGAAGCAAAAACCTGGCAAAAGGAAGAGATCTTTTTCTGAGCAAAGACCGACATGAAGGATGGGCCAGCCTCATGAGGCAGAGAGTTACACAGTTGGGTACAGCCATTGCAAAAGCCTTTTCTGTGATCAACCATCTGGGCTTCCTATTGCACACATCAATATAGAGTTTATTTTGAGAGCCAGTTTGGGGTAATGGTGAAGGTGCTGGACTAGAAAACCGGAGATTGTGGGAACTTGGCTGGGTGACCTTGGGTCCATCTCTCTCAGCCCAACCCTCCTTACAAGAAGATTATTGTGGGTAAAATAGGAGGCAGGAGAACTATATGCTCCACCCTCAGTTGCCCAAAATAAAGTTGAGATATCAATATCATCAACATCATCACGATCAACAGAAACCATGTCCAGCTTTTCGAAAAGAGCTGTAGCTTAGCACTAAGTATATCACCCACCTTCAGAAGATCTTGATTTCAGCCCTGGCCTCTCTTTCTTTCTCCTGAGCAGGCATGCAAAAGATTGCAAACACAACAGGGCGAGCCTATGTGTGCCCATGGGCTAGAAAACCCTATTCACCAAAGGAGGATTTGCTTCTGAGTAAACTTGCAGGGAGTGGGGCTTCACACGCTTGAGAGGATTGGATAAGATCCTTTGAGCCTCCTCTCAGAATTCCCCAGCCAGCATGCTTTAAGATGGGAGTTGAAGTCCATACATCTTAAAGTTGCCAAGTTTAAGAAACACTGCTCTAGAGTCTAAAAGAAACAGACTTTCTCCTGAATCTGGGACCCACATTTAAAAATTTCATCCCAAAATAAAGAGAGGTGCGGCTTTTGAAAAATTAACTGCATGTCAGAACGTGAGTTGGAACGGGATGTGCAGATTAAAGAAGTTTCCTCTAAGCTAGGTGGCAGGACCTAACTGAGCTTGACTGAGTTTGAAAAGGCAACCACAGGCATCTGTTACAAGCCATGATGATGTCAAAATTATGACTCTTGCATTATGAACATCATCACACAAAGGATGCAGTTATGCCCATTGGAGTTGGACAGCTGATAAATTCAAATAATTATATAATAATAAGACTTGCATCTTGATGTCCATCACCAGGATTCAGGTAGCATTATTTCCACGATGACGCAATGACCAGATATGCTAGATCTATCTTCCTCCTGCTTCTTCCTGGGTATCTGTGCCTGGTTAGAACTTGGTTGGAGAATCACCAAGTGTTCCCACACTTATAAGCTAGCCCGGGAAATCCTAACAAGAAAATCCCAGAAGACAATCACAAATCCTTTCCACCAAGAAAATTATATGGATGGGTTAATCAAGTCCCCAGAGCAGAAGACCAGTTTAGTCTAGTGGTGAAGGCTCCAGGCTAGAAACCAGGAGACGGTGAGTTCTAGTCCCATCTTAAGCATGAAAGCCAGCTGGGTGACTTTGGGCCAGTCCCTCTCTCTCAGCCCACAATGTCAGGTTTGGGTGAAAGCCGGTCGGTCAATTTCCATCACAATCATTGGATCACCAGTCCGTTGATCCAAAAAGCGGACCCCGCACCTGTGGGAAAACGCGAGGAAGGAAAAAAAACTCCCCAAAGATGATTTCACCCTACTGTGGAGTGTACAAATGTCTCTCCTGGAAATAGGCAGGGCAAAGGTTGGAGAAGACAACTAAATGAACATCCCACGAGTTTGAGGGCTTGGGATGACTCGTCAGACAGCCAGTCCCAGGCCGCCTTCTCCACAAGTTCCTTCCGTAATTATAAGTTTATGACCATGTGCTCTCTTCCTGACTACGTATTTCTGTGCCCTATTTTGATTAGTTATATTTCTCTCCCAGCCTTCCAAAATGAAAAAAAAAAAAAACTTCCCTGCCAAATGTATTCTTTTTTATTCTGTATTCTTTCCTGCTTTTGTTTGATACACCGAAAGAGAGAGAGAGAGAGAGAGGAAAAGGTACATGATGGAGAAACCATCTGAAACCCCATGGCTTTTATTTTATTCAGTGACCCTTTTTGATATCCAGCTTTTTCTCCCCCTGCTTTTTGTCATTCTGTTCTCCCCTCCATCTTCTCAGTTTGGGCTCCCCTTTCTCTTCCTCCCTCCCTCCCTCCCTCCATCTCTCTCTCTCCTTTCTGTCTTTTTTTTTCCCCCTTCCTTTTTAAAAATTAACCTCGTCTCTTTCTGTTTCTCCTTCTTCTCAGTTTGCTGCGGGCAAATGCTTAAGGAAGCTGCAGCCAGCGGTACCAGACTTGGAGAATTCATTAAGCCGTACCTTGACGGCGGATGGCCAGGTACGGAGAGGGGTGACAAATTTGTGGAAGAAAATAACCTCGGGCTTCTCGGGAGAGGAAGAAGGAGAGGAAAATCACCATGCAGTGTTCAACCCTGGGGACATGCCCCCATGAGGCTAATCCGATTAATATTAGGGTCAATCAACATCTCTATTAATCCGATCTCTATTAATCTGGAGCGTAATTCTCCAAATGGGGAGATTTAGCCAAAATGGCACCAGGAACGGGCAGGAGGAAAATATAAGCACAGACTGTAAGGTTGGTCTTCAGGCTCTGAGCAAGGATGTTGATGCAGTCAGGGTGTTGGCAGGGATGGGCAGTGATGCCCGTGAAAATCCCAAAGGAAGTTTAAACCGCCTTGTTCTCTCTGCCACCATTCTGACTATTATCTGAGAATGATCAAGGTTGGCAAGTTATTCAACTTGTTAGTCTACACTAGGGTTTCTCAACCTTGGCAGCTTCAAGATGTGCAGACTTCAACTCCCAGAATTCCCCAGCCAGCATGCTGGGAGCTGAAGTCCACACATAAAGCAGGTGGCTGGGGAATTCTGGGAGTTGAAGTCTGCACATCTTGAAGTTGCCAAGGTTGAGAAACCCTGGTCTACACAATAATATACTAGCCCATCTGACTTCTTGCTGTCTGCCAGGGCTGATGGCCAAAGAGAGAGGCGGGGCTACCCTTGGGAATGTTGGGAGGAGGGCAGCTGCAGTAGGCGGGGTCATGCTGATGCAAATTAGATGGGCGGAGCTATGTCCTCTGGCTGAGGCCAGAATCTTCTGATTCTTTTCCGGTGTTTGGAGGGGAATCTAGACTTTTAAAAAATATGGTCAACCCATTTTAATGCTAAGCATACAACTTTTGTGTAGTTGTCCAGGCAGTCGCCAAGAGTCAAAACTGACTTGAAGGCACACACACAGGCATACACCCACACAAGTCCATACCTTACCATAGTAGGTGAATCTAGTCACTGTGGGTCAACAAAACCAAATTAAAACAACTCCTGGACTCCAAGAAGGACCCCTTCCAATTCATCCTTTTGGCTTTCCCTGCATCCTTCTTTGATCAGATCCCACCAAGGCCAAATCTTGCCATCAAAGTACCACTGAAGAGAAGAAATGTGAAGGGTGAAAGTAATACATGAGTCTTAATCTTGATTCACACGGCACACTAAGGTGCATTCTTCATTCCTCCTCCTCCTCCTCCTCCTCCTGTTCTTCTTCTTTTCTTCTTCATTATCTGTGAACCTAAGCATTAGGATTTTGTGAACCAGGGTTGAACAACGCACGGCTTAACGGGATGGGTGGATTTGTAGGAAAAAAGATAAGCAGAACAGACTTCATTGGGACGGGAAACCTGTGGAAGAATATGTCGTAACGCCGTGCTTTTTGTGGTTGTTCTTGGCAACGGGCAGAGGAAGAAAAAGCACCATTCTGGCTGTCCTGAATTTTATGTTTCGCTGTGCTTTTTGCCCTAAAATCAAAATGAGAGCACTCAAAACTGGCAACCAGCCATTTTCAGTAATGTCCTGCTTGCCTTCCCTTTAAAAAAGAGTGATATTTGAATTTCTCCCAATGGGATTCTTTTGACTGGTGGCTGGAGAGATCGAGGAGGAACAGAACAGGGATGTGGGGATTTTCCAGTTCCCACCTTTACTTTACTACAAGCAGCAACAAGAATGAAATGGGGATGATTCCTTTTATCCAAGGGCGTATTTTATTTCCTTTTATTATACTCGATTTGGGGAGGGGGTTAGTGTGTTCTCTACGATTTGGGGTACCATGGAGGTTTGAGATCACTCTTTTGCCTGCCCTCAACATCTACCCCCCATCTCTAAAAAGTCTCTAACAACCGCAAATCTTATTCTTCCTCTCCTTCATTTTATTCTCGTTTTTTTTCTTTTAAAGGGGTCGGGAAGACATTACTTACCAAGCCTATCTGGGAGTTGAAAGGCTAGGTAAATCTTTCTGTCTGAGAGGTAAGCTCGGGTTTTATTTCTTCTTTATTTTATGAAAAATAAAATGAAATAAAACCCCAGCCAGGCACACGCTGCCTGAACATTGCTAAGAAATCCTTGGGGACATCTGCTGGTTTTCTCAGCTAGTCCTCCCATGCCTGTGTTTGTAGTAGCTGAAGACAGCGCGTGGCTACTTGCTAAATAATTTACAAGTTGATTAATAAACTCACAAGGGTATAATTAGATGAAGGAGAGAAAGAGAAAGAAAGAGAGACGGCGGCTTCGGTAAGGGCACAGGGGCTTAGGGGAGCTCTGGGCTCTCCCCCCCCCCATTTCTCTCTCTCTCTCCCTTTCTCTTTCCTTTTTCATGAAACTTTCTAGGGTGCTGGCGTTTGAAGATAAGTTGGGAAGAGCTCAGCGCGCCTTCTCTTTTGATGTGGAAATAGGACAGTTTGAATCCGTCGAGTTTAATTTTTCACAAGCTGTAAGGGCTGTGTAGTCATACTTCCTCATTTTAGTGTGTGTGTGTGTGTGTGAGACTGGAGGGGGAAAAAACCCTCTTCATTTTCTTTCTCTTTTTTTTCACACCCCCTCACATAAGCAAACTCCAAATTGGAACTAATAAACAGATTATTTTCCTCTTCAAGTTCTGTTTACCCATATACTGAGGGTCCTTCTCCCGTCAAGCTTGCGTTGGGGGCCTCAGTGAAGAAGAAAAAAAATTGGTCGGCAGTTGATTTTTGGATTCGAAAAATCGCCCTTTTGGGGAATGCATTTTCAAGAGGGACCCTTTGCTTCCCTCTGACGATGCTTTCGAAACCTCTTTTGGGATGTCTTCCTGCTTCCAAGGCCTCCTCCCCTTCAAAACTTTTGGCATTTTTTTTCCCGCTTGGGAATTGTTAGTTTTCTTTGCTGAAAGAGAAGTAGGAACAGCCAAAGTCTTTTCCCTGTTGGTGGTAACATTTGATAGTCAGGAGAATGTTTATAATTATATTTATATGGACTTTTCTGGATCTTTTTCTAGCTTTCAGAAAACAGATGTGTTCCGAGGCTCACCTTCTAGGAGAAACTAAGGTTTAGATGGGTGTTTTTGTGAGAGAGAAGAGCATTCCCATGTACTACTGGTTTTGGGTTTTGAATCACAAAATAGAGTATTTATATTAAAAAATGCTTACATCTTGAAAACAGTTCTAGGCCACTGCTAATAGCTGCATTATAAACCAAAGTGGCTTATAGCAGCCCATACAATAATGAAACAGTGAGAACCAAGACAGTCAATAAATACCAACAGTAATAAAACTGCAACCCTGACCGTGCTAAAAATTTGGATCTAATTGCAATTGAAAATCATGAAGAGATCTGTAAAAGAAAAGAGTAGGTTCTTCTGTTGATCCTAAAAGTTGGCAATTATAAGATGACCACCTACCCCAGAGCCCATTGCAGAAAAGACCCCATATCTCATGTTTCTTCATTTATCAAAGAAGGACCACCAGGTGGTCAAATGGGTGAGGTTGGCCCTTTATGTCTACTTTGTCCTAGATAAGGGTTCTCTGGATGGGGCCAAGCCATCCTGGCCATTGGTAAGGAATGTTTGGAACTGTAGTTCAGAGTGCTCCAGCTTGCTTGTGACTGGTTGAAGTTTTAAAATCAGGGTCTAGTTGCCTCAACTCTGCCAACAGTGGAACAGATGCAGTTATCCTTAGCTGTCAGTTTCCAAGCTACACCCCTTTTCTACAACTGACAACAGGGAGATTTACACACTGTCAGTTTCTACTGTAGGCCAAGGCTGCCATCTCAGATGAGGTTGGTGCTGTATGAGGAACCGTGGCAGAAACCGTTGGGTCAACCTCTTTTCTTCATCTAATCATGTGTTTCTGACCCCAACCCAAGGGGTTGTGTTCTTTAGCTGTTTGGCTGCAATGACCCATCCCTTCTCAGTAGCTAACCTGGCCTTCATCAAAGGTCCTCAGGCTGAGAAGTGGATCAGAAGAGGGAAACAGGGCACCTTCTGGCCTGCAGTGGATGAACCCACCTTCTCCTTTACCTGTAGCAAAGTTTGCATTCTGGAGGAGACTCAATGCAGCTTCTCTGCTCAAGAGCAGGTATACCAAATCCATGCTTTTTCACTGAAGGTGCCCCCCCACCCACCCCCATTTCTTCATCCTGGGGGGAAATTCCAGATCAGAATGCTCTAACATATTTACTTGCAAGGAAATCTCTTCATCAGATCTTCTGTATTATAGAGTGGGGTGTGCGATCCTTCCAAGGCTGAGGACCACCCTTCGTCTTTCAGAGGCCTCCTGAGAACACCTATTCCAAAGAAACAGGTGGAGCCAAGAGAAGGAACTGGATGGGGCCACAACTCAAACTCCTATTTGATGTAGTCAGATTTTATTTTAACCCCATGCTGCTAGTGTGATGGGCCTCCATCTGTTTGACTTCTTCCGTTGTCCTGTTATCGTTAAAAATGACAATAGGGGAGGAACTCTTAATGGGGCTTAGATGCCCTTTCGAGGCTTAGGACATTAAAGGAATGGGATTAGCCTCACAGTTATTTATTTTCCCTCTGATAAAAAGATTTTTCAGGGTTTTGAAGCTTTGCAAAAACCTGTGCCTCTCGTTTAGCCAGAAATGACTCGGCACAGGAATGGGCAGTGATGGCTGTATAATAGTACATTAAACTCTTCTGTCTCCTCTGTTTGACTGGGGTGGGTGGAGAGTTAGAATTTAGCCTAGACAGTTGGTTGCTCTAGAAATATCTTTCAAAACTCTTCCCAACCCATTTCTGCTTTATCGTTACTTTCCCAATATTTCCCTTTTTGAGTGTCCTATTACCTAGCCAGCCTTGGCCAATCTCAAGAAGCTAAGAAGGGACAGATCTGATTAGTGTCTGAATGGAGGCCACGCATCAGGGCTGTAGGCTCTACTGAAAAGTCAGAAATGTTCTGGAAGAATGCAACAGCAGCCCCCTTATGTAATACTGCCAAGAAAACTTCACAGAAGTGTCCATGAAATTGGACTCAAACGAACTGGGAGTCTCTCTAAATGGCAACCTCTACCGGATCTCGGCCGATCTCAGAAACCCCAAAGGGTTGGTCCTGGTTAGTATTTGGGTGGAAGATCACTAGGAAATCTTTACACTGTAGATATCCCAACAACTTCCCAGAACAGGGCAGTGCCAAAACCACTTCCATATTGTTGCCAAGAAAAGCTATGGAAATGCCCACAGAGTCACCAGGAGGAGCCAAGATCTTGAAGAAGATACCAACGTTCGCCTTGTCTTGTAGGGAGTTGATATTGTCAGTAGGTGGTGCCACATAATCGATAGAGCAGGCAGTTTTCTTGCAACCGCTGATGTTGTGTTTATTATTGGTACATCACAGGCCATGCGTTAGCAAGCTGCACAGCCAAGCTGCAGTCGGCTGGATTCAAAAGCCGGAAAAACAGCAGCGGTGTTAAGAAAATAATGATAGCCTTAGATATCTCTGGTCCTTCTTATGTTGACCGCAGTTTGAAGGTTCTGAACTTTGGTTTCCAATGGAAACTGTAGTTTGCATTCATCCCTGTCATGCAGTCTCTGGACTATGGGTTGCTTCAGAAGTGCTCTTCAAAGCTGGAATCTTCTCGAATTCTCAGCCCCCGAAAAAGGGGGGGAAAAAAGTTAAAGCCACCTGCAGAGAGACCAAAAAATGAAGAAAAAGGAAAAAGCACAAAGGAAAGTGACTTTTGTAGATTGAAGCAAGCCCATCACCTTTTTAAAGCTGAAATGAAATCCCTGAGCAGGGTGATCTTGGTGAAGGGGTTGGAAAGGATATGCCATTGAGGCTGTCACAGGTGGAAAGGTGGTCTGGACTCCGTTGCAGGTCCTCACAGTTTCTACTCAAATTCTCTCAAACAGAAAGAGGCCATGGGCAATGATGTTGGCCTCTCGTAGCCTTGCCAGCTTGAAATCATGGCTTGGGGGGCTTTTAGTGGCTCGAACTGTGGCTTGTAAAGGGAAGCAAAATGGCAATTTATTGCTCTCATGCATGTTTGAGGAATGACCTTTTAGCTTCGGGATGGATGTACCCTGAAGCAAATTAGAATTAAAATCAGTTCTGCATCTTTAAAGTTTGATTTTTTCCCCCTCTCTGAACATTTAAGGCCAGCAGGCTTAAGGAGAAATGAAAGACATTTCCTGGAGATTCCCACTGGTTGGTTGGTTTGATTTGGGCTTAGTGTAATGTATGAATCTGGTCACTATGGCTGATCCCCAAACCATTGTTAAAAAACAAAACAGAGCAAAACATGGATCAATAGGATGTGTGAAGACTGAGCTGCAGAAGATTTTGCTACTGATGGCTGTTAGGGATTTGTTAGTAGCCACTGAGATGTTTTTAGATATGGTACTAATATATACATTGAGTAAAAAAAAAATAGTTGCTGTAAATTACCTTCTTGACCAGAGACAGCAAGTCAACAAACTAGGGGAAAAGCATTTTTCTCCAAACCAAGTCCTCTCCCCAATGGCCATCCTGTACAATCTTAGGGTATGGAACTGAGCTTTAATTGTGCAGCTGAATGCTATACGTTAATACATATACAAAAAGCCCAGCTCCTGCCACGCTGTCAATAATTTTGCTTTTTGAGCATTTTTGATAGCATTTTAAAACCGAATCACATGGGATTGGCACTGAAAGAGTCTTACTGTTGGTCAGCTATGCATTGTGTATTTTCTTTGTATTGAGCCAAGTATCTTTAGGGTTCTACGCAAGATCTGAAGAGGAAGAATTGGAAAAGGGCAACAGACAGTGAGTCCAAAAAGTTCAGAGCTGAAGTCACATTCAGCACCTGGGAGAGCTCCTCAAGTAGGAGTTGTTGCTCCACAAAGAACTGAGTCCACTTCTTTTTTAATTTTTTATGCTAGATTGATTCAAATGATCCTGCTTCACCCAGGTTGGTTCCATCTGCATGTGTTGAAGCTACAACTCCCAGAAGTCCCATCTAACTTTAGGAAGAAGCCTACTGTAACCAACAGGTCATATTCTCATAATCTATTTCCCAATGTATTTTATTAAAGAAATAACTCTTCCAAACTTTGTGGTCAGCAGGAAGATGGATGGTTTTCCCCGGAGGACTCAAATAACATTAAACGAATTTGACCTTTGTGGAATAATCAGGTATTCTGCTCTTGCGCTTTGCTGAATTTAGGGATGACACGCCAAGCCAGTAGAAGTAGCCCTTGGCAGTAGCTGATAATCAGGGCAAGATGTTAACTGTCAAACCCTGAGATCAACCCTCAGGCATCTGAATTAATGATGGAAGGCTTTAGACCTACTGGGGGAAGGAGTGGGAAAATATCTAAGAGGAGGAGAAAAGCTAAGTGAGCCGTGGTATCAAAGAAGCCTCCAACTTTCCACAGCAAGGAATAGCCAGCTCCTCCCAACCTTGTCCCAAGAAGACCATTGTAAGGCTCGTGAATATCAAGGATTTATAGGTTTAGAAGGTAGGTCAATACATGTCAAAAGCTTCTTCGTCTTTATAGAAAGCAAAGATATTGAACAAAAAGCTTCAAATCGGAGTGGAGCGGAGGATGCGTTTGTGTGGTGTTTTGCTCTGGTACTCATTATAGATCTGTATTTTCAGCTTTCAGCATCTACATTTTTGAAGTTTTGCTCGGGTGTTCATTACGGATCCATCTTTCGGCTTTCAGATATTGAGCCTTTTGGAAGAGCGAGAGAGTAAAAATATCTCCCCTGCTTCCCCTGCAGAGATGAATTTGAGGAGCAGTTTGAGAAGCTGGAAAGCTATTTTAGATTATTAGGTGTCATAAACGTGCTTTTGGCAGTGTGGCACGCATTTGACGGCCACACCAAGGCAAGGTAGTGGAGGAACTGATAGAAGAGACGCATAATTTAATATACGGAGATAATCAACTTTCAGGCTTCCTTAATTTTCTTTTAAGGCCAGGTTTCTGGTCTTTAGTATCATTTTAAAGGTGAGCGTCAATGCCTGGGGATTGCAAAAATTACTACTTGAACAGGGAATTAATAAGTAAGGAAGTTAGTAAGAAAGCAGAGATGTTGTATTCCAGGGTTTTGAAATATATCCCGGGTTGGAATGTATCATGCATTGGAATATCTCTCCTATCACCTTCCAGGCCAACACGGCTCTTGCAAACAATACATTTCCAAAAGGACCCAGATTTTGGAAGGCTCTTCCGGAACTCTTCATGGAGATCTTGCACCTGCCATAAATTTCTCCCACAGCTTTTGAAGAGTTTCTCTCTCTCTTCTGCCTCTGTCATTTGCAGTATTCAGTTCGTGATAATAACCTACCTAATGGAGAATATTGGGAAAAGATGTAGGTGGAGGTTGGATCATTGTTAAAGATATCCTTGTGGTTTCAAGAATCAGTATAGTAAATCTGAAACTTTGGGGGATTTAATTCCCCAAAATATGACTCTACCTTCTCTTCTCTTCTCTTCTCTTCTCTTCTCTTC